GGGGGGCTGCAGTGGGGTCAGGGATGGCAGGGGGAGGGGGCATGGGTATCACTTGGGGAGGGGGCCTGGGCATTGCTTGGGGAGTGAGAAGAGGCATTGCATTGGGCAGAGGGGACATGGGCATAGCAGTGGTGGGCAGGAGGGTAGAAGCCAGGAGCCATGACAGCAGGCTTTTAATTAATTTAATGACATGGACCACCAGTTGAGAACCACAGTTCTTATATCAAGACATTGTGTTTTCATTCATTTATCTTCTTTCATTCTCACTTATTTGCTTGTCTATCCACTCTTCCCAGTGGGATTAGCAGAAGATGCCAGGTAAATTTGGATCTTTCATCCAAAAGTCAGTTTCCAATTAATCCTTAAGTAGGACATATTTTATTTTATTAATTCATCATGGCTGAGAGCCCTTCATATAGCCACACTATTCAATTAAAACACTGGGTTGAGCCATCAGCCTTTGTGAATGATTGAATGAAGACTAAACAGGTACCCTTTGCACACCACATCACTGTACATAGGGTAAAGGAAGTCAACATTGTGTTTCCCCCACCCCCCTTTGGCTATCAGAAAGTGTAGCTTCAGTTCATCAAATGGATAAAGAAACCTGTTCATAAGTGCTTAATGGAAAGCCACCTTCCTTCAGGCTATGTCTATACTGGGGTTTTTCTGGGATATCAGAGGTATCCCAGAAAAACCCTGCTGAGTCCAGGGAACACGTTTGCTCTTCTGCTTTTTTTTTTTTTTTTTTGCAGAAGTGCAAACATGTTGTTCCGGAAGCCCTGTCTTCCTCATTCTGGGTATGTCTATACTACATGGTTCCATCGACGGAGCCATGTAGATGAGCTTTGTAGACATAGCAAAATGAAGCAGCGATTTAAATAACCGCCACTTCATTTACATCAAAATGGCTGTTGCGCTGTTCTGATCAGCTGTTTGGTGGCACAGTGTGGTAGTCTGGATGCTTGGCGGTCGACATCAAAAGCCTTTGTCGACCGCCCTGTTATGCCTTGTGGGATGAGGTTTACCGGGGCGGTCGATAAAGGATTTTGATGTCAACCGCCGAGTGTCCAGACTACCGTGCTGTGCCACCAAACAGTTGATTGGCATAGCAAGGTCACCATTTTGATGTAAATAAAGCAGCGATTATTTAAATTGCCGCTTCATTTTGCTATGTCTACAAAGCTCGTCTACATGGCTCTGCCGACAGACCCATGTAGTGTAGACATACCCTCCGTGAGAAAGAAGGGATCTTCCAAAAGAGGGGCATTTTCTAAAATTTGGCCCAATAGAGATGGGCTAAATTTCAGAAAATCCTCTTCCAAAAAAAAAATTGGAAAAAGTTACGCAAAATGCAGAGCACATTTTGTGTAGCTTTTTCCAAAAAAAGCGATATCAAGGAAAGACCGAGGGAGAGGATTTGTGGAGCCAGGGGCTGATGGGTGATGAGGAAAAAACTAGGTGCTGTTCAGAGAGAGAGAGAATGGAGGAATGGAGTGAGCAATATTTGGTGATGAAGAGGTAAGAAGGTAGATGGAACTTAGGGTGTGTCTAGACTACAAGCCTCCGTCGATGGAGGCATATAGATTAGACAGATAGGCAAAGGGAAATGAAGCCGCGATTTAAATAATCGCGGCTTCATTTAAATTTACATGGCTGCCGCGCTGTCAGCTCAGCGCGCTAGTCTGGACCTCCCCTGTCGAAATGAAAGCCTTTTATCGACATCCCCCGTAAGCCTCATCCTACGAGGCATAAGGGAGATGTTGATAAGAGGATTTCAGGTCAGTGTGGAGCGTCCAGACTAGTGTGCTGAGCCGACAAACAGCTGATCAGCTGTTTGTCAGCTCAGCGCGCTAGTCTGGACCTCCCCTGTCGAAATGAAAGCCTTTTATCGACATCCCCCGTAAGCCTCATCCTACGAGGCATAAGGGAGATGTTGATAAGAGGATTTCAGGTCAGTGTGGAGCGTCCAGACTAGTGTGCTGAGCCGACAAACAGCTGATCAGCTGTTTGTCGGCTCAGCACACTAGTCTGGACGCTCCACACTGACCTGAAATCCTCTTATCAACATCTCCCTTATGCCTCGTAGGATGAGGCTTACGGGGGATGTCGATAAAAGGCTTTCATTTCGACAGGGGAGGTCCAGACTAGCGCGCTGAGCTGACAAACAGCTGATCAGCTGTTTGTCGGCTCAGCACACTAGTCTGGACGCTCCACACTGACCTGAAATCCTCTTATCAACATCTCCCTTATGCCTCGTAGGATGAGGCTTACGGGGGATGTCGATAAAAGGCTTTCATTTCGACAGGGGAGGTCCAGACTAGCGCGCTGAGCTGACAAACAGCTGATCAGCTGTTTGTCAGCTCAGCGCGCTAGTCTGGACCTCCCCTGTCGAAATGAAAGCCTTTTATCGACATCCCCCGTAAGCCTCATCCTACGAGGCATAAGGGAGATGTTGATAAGAGGATTTCAGGTCAGTGTGGAGCGTCCAGACTAGTGTGCTGAGCCGACAAACAGCTGATCAGCTGTTTGTCAGCTCAGCGCGCTAGTCTGGACCTCCCCTGTCGAAATGAAAGCCTTTTATCGACATCCCCCGTAAGCCTCATCCTACGAGGCATAAGGGAGATGTTGATAAGAGGATTTCAGGTCAGTGTGGAGCGTCCAGACTAGTGTGCTGAGCCGACAAACAGCTGATCAGCTGTTTGTCGGCTCAGCGTGGCAGCCATGTAAATTTAAATGAAGCCGCGATCATTTAAATCGCGGCTTCATTTCCCTTTGCCTATCTGTCTAATCTACATGCCTCCATTGACGGAAACATGTAGTCTAAGCACACCCTTAGTGTGGTGGAATTTCGGAGTCTGGGAAACTACTCACTCCTGACTCAGACAGAGCATGGTTGATTAATGCAGAGATGGGCTTTCATGCAGATTTAACATTAGTGACCCCAGGTGAGGACAGGCTGGAGATATATTTTTCCACTTTCTCACGGAGCTCTTTGGTTTTGATCCCATAAACGATGGGGTTGAGCACGGGGGGCAGTAGGTAATAGAGGTTGGCCAAGATAATGTGAACGTGGGGTGCAATAGCCTGACCGAACCGGTGTGTGAGACTGGAGAAGAGGAAAATAGGATAAGAAATGAGTATCACACAAAGGTGGGCCGTGCAGGTGTTGAAGGCTTTCTGGTGGGCTTTCTTGGAGGAGATTCTGAGGACGGCTCTGACGATGAATCTGTAGGACAGGGCGATAAGCGTCAGGTCTGACCCCATGATTACAATCACTGTCACCAAAGCGTACATACTGCTCACTGTGGTGTCCCCACATGACATCTTTGCGACAACGATGTGGTCACAGTACGTATGGGGGATAATGCGGTTGGCACAGAATGGCTGTTGGCTCAGGAGCAGGGGCAGGGGCAAAATTAAGAGGATAGCTCTTAGCAAACACACTAACCCCAGCTTAGCTATCCGGGCATTGGTGAGGATGGTGGTATATCTCAAGGGGTTGCATATGGCAACATAGCGGTCGAAGGCCATTGTCACAAGAATGGCTGAATGCATTGACGCACCCACATTAATGAGGAACATCTGGGTGAGGCAGCCACCCACAGTAATGTCTTGCGAGTTGAACCAAAATATACAGAGGGCCTTCGGTATGAGGGAAGTGGAGGTGGCGATGTCGGTGAGCGCCAGCAGGCAGAGCAGCAGGTACATTGGCTGGTGCAGGGTCTGCTCTTTGCCTATGACAAACAGAAGCATGAGATTTCCCAACAGGCTGCTAATGTAGAACATGGAGAAGGGGATGGAAATCCAGACGTGGGCATCTTGCAGGCCAGGGACGCCCAATAGGATGAATGTGGACGGGTTAGAGGGGGTAAGGTTGAAAGCTGCCATCCGACGGTCAATGTGTTGATCATGCTCAGAAATGCTGAAGGTCTGTGAAGGATGAGAGACAGAGTGAGCAAGTTAGTACGGCAGGTGCATATAGCAATTAGCCAGTTTGAGGGGGTCAGGGGTGAGGAGTGAAGCAGCAACATTTGCACATGGCACCAGATTATTTAGCTCATGATTGTGTCCACAAAAGTCCTCAGAGGGAGCTAACTAAGCTGGAGAACAGGCATCCTGGTAGCAGATAGACTTTGATGTCAGTAATGGAAATATGGCTTCCTGTTGGTGGGAAAAGCTTGTCTAACCCACACACCTAAGCTCCGTCCTAACTGCATCATTTTTGCAGACGAGGAAATGCAAATGAGGTGCTCATTAGCATTTCTTGTGCTTTCATTTGCATATTCTCCTACGATCCTTTTTGTGGAAGAGGTTTTTGCTAAAAAAAAAACGCAGTGTAGACGGGGCTGTTTTGTGCCATGTTTTTGTGCAAGAACCCTTATTCCTCAAAAAATGAGGACTAGAATTAAAAGATCCTGTCATTGATTCAGAGCCCTCTGGATTGGTTGGTGTACGGGTCAAAACAAGCCACGTGTGTTCTAATGTGACCCTGTAGCTATCCTCCGCTAGGAAAAAAGAATGCAGTTGATGTTTACACAGACAGGGGCTGTTGTGGAGACCACAATGACCCTGAGGAAGATTTGGGGGCACGAAGGGATAATTAGCTGCACATGAGCACCCAGTGTGATCCTGTGGCCGAAAGACCAAAGTGATCTTTAGATGATAATGAGAGAAAACTCAAAGAGAGGTAAACGTTATATGGCGTCTGTATTTCGCACTGGTGTGAGTGCTGCTGGAGTACTTCATTCGGTTATGGGGTCTACAATTAAAGATGGATGTTGCCACATGGAAGTCAGAAATAAGAATTATTAAGAACATAAGAACAGACAGACTGAGTCAGACCAAAGGTCCATCCAACCCAGTGTCCTGTCTCCTGACGGTGGCCAATGCCAGGTACCTCAGAGGGAGCAAACAGAACAGGAAATCCTCACATGATCCCTCTTCTGCCATCCATTTCCAGCCTCCGATAAACCCAGACTAGCGACACCATCCTCGCTGGCAAGCATTAATGGACCTAACCTCCAGGAATCTATCTAGTTCGTTTTTTAACCCTGTTACAGTCCTGGTCTTCACACCATCCTCTGACATTAAGGCTGTGTCTACACTGGGCCACTTATTCCGGAAAATCAGCCGCTTTTCTGGAATAAGCTGCGAGCTGTCTACACTGGCCCTTGAATTTCCGGAAAAGCAATGACGCTCTACTGTACAAAATCAGCCGCTATTCCGGAAAAACTATTCTGCTCCCGCTCGGGCATAAGTCCTTATTCCGGAACACTGTTCCGGAAAAGGGCCAGTGTAGACAGCCCAGTAGTCTTTTCCGGAAAAAAGCCCCGATCGCGAAAATGGCGATCGGGGCTCTTTTCCGGAAAAGTGCGTCTACATTGGCCACGGACGCTTTTCCAAGCAGTGCATAGCCAGCACGGCTCTCCCATTGACCTGGGGGAAGGGCGCGGGTGAGTCACTCCGCTAGGGGCTGTGGGCGGGAAGGAGAGGCAGAGGACAGGTGGGATGGAAAACCTGCTTTATAATGATAGACCCAGACAGCTCAGTCGATTTACTTTAACAAAGATGCCTAAGCATCATAGCCATTAACTACATCTATGTGTAACTGATATTTAATAATCAGTGTTTCAGCCTAACATGAAGTGTAACACAATCCAGAGCTTGGAAGTTTAAGTGAAAGTATTTCTGACTGGAAATAAGGCACGTATTTTTAAAACGGTGAGAGTAATTACACATCAGGAAAATTTTCCGAGGGTCTGTCTGACCAGGCACTGTGTGAACCAATGCTAAACAGGCTTCAGACAAAATAACCACTAGGGCCTAGGTGGAGGACTGTCCTGTTCTTGTCCAAACTCCGAGGTTGTGTCTAGACTGGCCTGTTTTTCCGGAAAATCAGCCTCTTTTGCGGAAAAACTTGCCAGCTGTCTACACTGGCCGCTTGAATTTCCGCAAAAGCACTGACTTCCTACTGTAAGAAATCAGTGCTTCTTGTGGAAATACTGTGCTGCTCCCATTCGGGCAAAAGTCCCTTTTGCGCAAAACTTTTGCACAAGAGGGCCAGTGTAGACAGCTGAGATTTGTTTTGTGCAAAAAAGCCCCGATCGCAAACATGGCGATCGGGGCTTTTTGTGGAAAAGTGCATCTAGATTGGCCACGGACGCTCTGTTCCAAAAATGCTTTTAACGGAAAACTTTTCCGTTAAAAGCATTTGTGGAAAATCATGCCAGTCTAGATGTAGCCCGAGTCTTATTGCATAAAATGGAGCTTTTACTATAACTGTGTCATAATAACAGCACTTTGAAGAGCAGTGCCACAGAACAATCAATGATACTTTTCTCCAGTGAAATGTCTGAAGGTAAAAAACAACATTTGAAACCGAACTGAATAAGATGCACTGTGAGTGCATCTACCCTGCACCTCTAGCTCAAAATAAGCTACGCAATGTGAGCTATGTAAATGTGCACCCAGCTTCTGGACCCAGAACACCCAATACTGGCCACTTGGCCATGTACGTCTACCCAGAATGTCCAGCCCTGCCACACAGTGATACCCCTCACCTAGAAACAAAACCAGTGCCAGGATTCACAGCGACAGCTCACAGAAATACCTCCTCAGACTTGGCTAAGCGCAGTGTCTACCTGCACTGGAGAACTGGGGGAGATCAGCCTGAACAATCTATGTGGGAAAAGCTTCCAAGGGGGAGCCGAGTTAGTTGGTAACTGGAAAAACGTAAACAACAACGAATAGTTTAGCAGCACCACAAAACACAGAGATGGTGTCCTGTGCTTTTGTGGGAACAGCCCACTTCTTCAGATGTGCTCATGGGTGGCAGGACGAGATGTGGAAACTAAGAGGAGCCAGTAGGAGTAATTCTTGCTCAAAATGACGCAAAGCTTGAACGTAGCACACAGGGCCAGCCAACAGCATTTTAGCACCTGAGGTGGGGAGTTCAAATGACGCCCCCATGCCTCCTCACTCAGGCCAAAACTTTGAACGATCTCAATTCTGCCTCCTTTCTGTTCTGCTCCTCTCATGGTCCTGCTCTGCTACCTACCCCAATGAAGGAGAACTAACAGCAGCAGACACAATTTTCCACACTCTGGGTCCTAGTGGCATCCCCGCCACAATTTGGCACCTGAGGCGGTCATCTCAGTCCGCCTCATGGTAAGGCCAGCCCTGGTAGTGCAGCCACTGAGAAAAACAAACGGGCCTTCTGAATGTTGGTTTCTGTGTTGGCACTTGCTGACAATGTTGTGAGGCTGCAGAGGGGATGCCCCCGGGAGGGGACGCTCATAGAGGAGGGTGTCTGAGACAGCCCACTACCATGTGGTCCACGTTACATGGCAGTCTAAGATACACCCCTCAATACACCTCTGCAGTTGGTGCATGAGGCAGGCAGTCCGTTCCCTCATTCGCCCTCTCTCAGGACTGTGCACCACTGAGATCTGGATAGTGTGTGCCCTGCAGTCTCACCTCCGCCCTTCCTCACACGATGGACATTCCTGAGCCTCCCCTGGAGAGATTTCCAACACCCCCTGACTCCGGCAGTGCCAGAAATGGGCTTTTATTTTCATTGCCCTTTGGTGTGTGTCATCCTCTCCAGAGCAAAGGATGCCAGGACTCAGAGGGTATGTCTAGACTACATGGCTCCGTCGACGGAGCCATGTAGATTTGTTTTTTTGGCAAAGGGAAATGAAGCCGCGATCATTTAAATCACGGCTTCATTTCCCTTTGCCAAAAAAACGAATCTACATGCCTCCGTCGACGGAGCCATGTAGATTTGTTTTTTTGGCAAAGGGAAATGAAGCCGCGATCATTTAAATCACGGCTTCATTTCCCTTTGCCAAAAAAACGAATCTACATGCCTCCGTCGACGGAGCCATGTAGATTTGTTTTTTTGGCAAAGGGAAATGAAGCCGCGATCATTTAAATCACGGCTTCATTTCCCTTTGCCAAAAAAACGAATCTACATGCCTCCGTCGACGGAGCCATGTAGATTTGTTTTTTTGGCAAAGGGAAATGAAGCCGCGATCATTTAAATCACGGCTTCATTTCCCTTTGCCAAAAAAACGAATCTACATGCCTCCGTCGACGGAGCCATGTAGATTTGTTTTTTTGGCAAAGGGAAATGAAGCCGCGATCATTTAAATTGCAGCTTCATTTACCTTTGCCTACAACCCTAATCTACACGGCTCCATTGATGGAGCCATGTAGTCTAGACACAGCCAGAGAGAGCAGCCCCTCTCCTGCTCTAAAAGAAACTGTTTTGATTATTCAGAGCCCCTACGCCTGTGAGTGTGAGATGTCAGCAACTCTCCTGTCAGTTTTTTGATCCAAATGATCTCATTTGCCCTTCGAGGCCAGAGGACAATGCCAGATGAAGTCACTGGAGGCTTGTGACCAGTAAATCCAGCCCTTTATTTAATTCCCTGTGTGGATTTAGAGTGAACCCCTTATCGTGTTCAGAGCTTTGTCATTGATCTCCATGAGACCAGATTCACCCTTAGGCTGTGTCTAGACTGGCAAGTTTTTCAGCAAAAACAACTGCTTTTGCGCAAAAACTTGCCAGCTGTCAACACTGGCTGCTTGATTTTGTGCAAAAGCACTGACTTTCTACTGTCCAAAATCAGTGCTTCTTGTGCAAATACTATGCTGCTCCCGTTCGGGCAAAAGCCTTTTTCCAGAAATGCTTTTGTGCAAAAGGGCCAGTGTAGACAGCTGAAAACTGTTTTGCGCAAAAAAGCCCCGATGGTGAAAATGGCAATCAGGGCTTTCTAGCACAAAACCGCATCTAGATTGGCATGGATGCTTTTCCGCAAAAAGTGCTTTTGTGGAAAACCGTCCGTGCCAATCTAGATGCTCTTTTGCACATTTATGGAAAATCA